TCAATCCGCGTATCACTGGGGAACGCAGCCCCTGCCTGCAAGGCTTTAGCTTGTGGATTTTCCCTCTGATCTGTTGAAGCAAGGCTGGGATGTGGGTGCATGTATGTGCACACAAGGTAGGGACTATCTCAGAAGTCTGGAGCACATCAGAGAGATTTTCTTCCCCACGCTGCCTCTGCGGGAGCAGGCCTGCTGTGGTTTCCATTAGACTTGTAGAAGTGCCAAACAACCCCCATAGTCTGCTGGGAGAATAATTAGACCTGGCAAGTTTGCTCAACAAGCACTTATTATACATAGTATTAAGGGGTGATAGGTAGAGTCTGTGGTTTTTTCATTTAATAATGCATGGATACTCCTAGATATCCTAAGGATCTCTCTCTGGATTTCTTTTGTGATCAAATGGCATAACTAATGACTGGGGCCGATTACATACTGATTAAAAACTACTTAAGAATCTGATCTGTCCAGGAAGGGAATGCCAAACCCTGTAGTATGAGGGAAGTGCTTGTCCCTATTTCATTTCAGTTGTACCAGTTCATCTGTCGATAGCAGCAGGCACTGAATGACCCTGCTTTGCACATCAAAGGGAATCCAGAATGCATAAGGAAACTGATGTGTCTGAGTTTAGTCAGAGTTAGACCTTGAAGCTGATGTCTTTGGCAAATGGCTATCTTCCTCTCCTCAGAAGAAGATGGATTTGACCAGGAAAACGTAGAAGCACATCCTTGTTTGGTGCCTATCCAAAACTGCACTGTTCCCACAGAAGGTGGCAATTTCTTCGTGCAACCCATTTCAGTGGGACACCTTTGCACTGAACAGACAGAAGTCTAAAAAACTTGGGAGACCTTACAGGAATCCTGTATTTCTCTGTGTTTCTCTTCCCATGGATTTAGCCTGATGTGAAAAATGACAAATTCATGGACTGGGGAGCTAGTAGTGAAAAATGGACCATTCGGAGATGATCATGGTGTGATGATGGGCAGTACTAGCTGAGGTGTTTGCACCATTAAGACTATCAGATAGTTAGTTTGAAGTAGATCCAGACTTTTGCTCCTACAAAGAGCAGGACTCTGTTCGGTGAGTGCATTGAGGGACACCCCTATCCTTCCAGCATAAGATATTTCTTAGCTGCCTTTGAAGAAATAGACATATATCCTTTTTATCCCTGTGTCTTCTGGACACATATGCCTTAAGAGGAAAGATAAAACAGAGCTACATTCATGAAAAAGCTTTAAACTACATGCTGGTCTGCTGCGACTGCCTCTAGCTTGTCCCACAGCATTGTCTGAGAAACACTGATTCAGCTAAATACCAGCTTCTGGTGTGATTTTAATAAGCCTTTGCAGAGAAGCAGTTTCTGCAGTGCTGGACATGCAGCCTCTGAACAGAAGGTCCTCTGAAGTGTTCAGTTTACAACAGATATGTGACCAGGACAGTTGTGGACACTTAGGGCCTAATATCTGTCATGGAGTTACCTGTGAATTCAGAGAAATCAAAATGTAAACGCATCATTTGAACACTGGGAGGGACTGTTCTATTTGGAGGGTACAAACCTCAGTGTCTGTGCTAGACTCCATGAATTACCTGGTCCCTGCTGCAAGAGGCATGGTACTACTCCTCTGAAGCTTCCTCTGTCTGGTTTGCACTGTAACAGGCTTCTTAAGCTGTCCAGGAAAATTTACACCTTGAATTTCTGACTAAAATATGATCTACAACTCTTACATGACTTTGTAGTGTTTCAAAAACGCTGGAATAGGGGAAAACATGATTTTAAAAAGCACAGGAACAGCACACTATGACAGCCAAGTGCAGTGTAAAGTTAATGAGTCTGAATAAGGTGATTTAAAATGAGAAAATAAAGGGAAGTCATTATTGGAAGCATTTTCTGTCCAAATTAACCAGTAATACTAAAGTTGAAGAAATGTAGAGTATGTTTCAGAAAGTAGTAACATAGAAAGAAACAAATAAATACCCAAAAAAGAAAGATTATTTTAAAATATCATCCAAATTTTTGCCTTTTTGGGGGGAGGGGACATATAATTTTTCCCTTGCATAAATATCCTCTCTAACTGTTTGATTGATGGGCTAAGGGCTTGGGTATCTCACACCATGTAGGATTGTGTTTGTCTAAGCCTCCAGACAGCTGCACTGTTGAATATGTGGAGATTCACCCTCTGCAGACACAGTGAAGCTGAGGCACAAATGTCATAACAGGGTCACACCTTGACAGGTGCTGGCTCTGCAGGACAATGGGTTGTACGTTTTTTAAAAGGGAATTATATGATGCCATTACCTGTGATAGCAGGGTCTTGACCGTAGTGAATGGAAGATGCCATTTGCCTGTGTTCATTTTTTTGGTGTCAGGATGTAAATGAGCTTCTCTCCAAACACAAACAAAAGCATAGCAATAGTATAGTGAGTGCTGAAGCAGACGGCAAATCAAGTCTTTGTTTCTGAGCTGCACTGCCATTATGAGAAGCTTTGCTGACAGTTATGAATGTCACTCATCAAAACACCCTCACATGGTTCTGATAAGTCTAAATAGTACTGTTTTATAGTCAATGTCACTGTCACCACAGAGGGCACAAAAGTCATCTTTTAAATTCATTCCTCAATGTAATCTGAATGCGCCTGTATTGTCTACTAGGCATTTTCTGAACACAGCCAAATAAATTTGGCGCCAGCTGCCACAGGAACTGTCTTTCTGAATAATCTCTTGTATTGTCTAAAATGATTGCATATTTCAAACATATAGGTTGGCACTTCATTTTTTTGTTTGTTTGCTTGCTTACTTGTTTTTAACACTATCAAGTTACTGCTACTCAATCATGGTTCCACACTTCTTTGGTCTCCTCATGTGTTTTGCATATTCTGGACTTGGTTCATTCTTTTTATTAAAAGGAGGACAATTACATTTTGTTCTATTGCTCCATATATTGCCAGTGAACATCCTTCCTCTCTGCGCCATGAGCTCCTCTGTGTGCCAAATGTGAAGGACCACCCAGAGCAGCATAAATACACATCAGTGATGGTTACAGGACTTAAGACTGCAGCCTCCTCTGCTCACTTCACAAGCACCCTGGTTTTACACTCTGTTCCTTGAGTACTGGCATCCTCTTGGCTATCACCCCACTGAAGGTTTTCATTAACAGTATAAAAGAAAAAGCACCAAAGCTCTTCTTTGTGATGAGCTCAAATCGACAGCTGACCTTGTAGAGCTGTGTCCCCCCAGCCTCGTTCATCAGCCCTGTTCTCAGCAGCCAGTGTTGCTCCTTTCCCAGGACAAGACAATGCTGTGTTTGGCAAAGCAGCATCTGGCACGCTGTGTGATGGCAGAAAATGTCCTCTTTAGTAGCGTGACACTCCACCATGTGGCACAGTCAATGCTTTATCATTCTGTTAAAAAGGGAGCTAGGAAGGTGTACAAATTTTGCCACTTCAGAAAGAGTGTTGAAATATTTTAATTCCTCCTCCATGCCTTTAAATTTGGAAAGCTACATATAGGGAATGAAAGAAGTGAGGGGAACTATAAATAAGAAATGAGTACGTGGGATAAATCTAAATCCAATCCCTGGTACTTGTCACAGCTCTCCATCAAATACCACTCACGCCTCACCAGCAGAACGTGGCTGTGTTGCTGTTTGTTGGCTGCTTTTGTGGTTGTTGAACGTGATGGTTCAGCATCAAAATCAGGCTCTGTAGAAGTTCAAGCAACCCTGGAAACAACGGGAAATTGTTTCTAATAAGGTCAAGCTAATGAAATATAAAAGATATCTAATAATTGCACGCCAATGAAAATGCTAACAATCATCCTTGCACTTCTGATATCCCAAATATACTCTGTGTGCCTAGTACAGATGTTTTATGGTACAACAATCACACCTCTTGACTTTCCCACACAGGTGCTTTCCAGACTTAAGCATGCATATAAATATGAATATTTTGTTCAATTTGCCACACAAATCTCTAAATTAGATGCACAGGCAGCTTCTCTTCACTCATAAGAGTTTTTTTCTAATGGCTATTTCATATTGCACCAGCCATGTTTAATAACTGAAAATGTTCTTAGGAAAGTTTGAGAGTTTTCTGAGCCTGGATTACAGCTTGAGTCTGCAAGGTGCTGAATTAACAGGATTTGATTCAGCAAGTCAGTTCTAGGACTACTCACGTGCTTAAAAGTACATAGTTATTTGGCATTGCTTTGCTGCATTGATTAGCAAGCTGTCATGATCAGAGGTCTGAACCTAGGATGAGGGCAGGAGGCAGGGTAACAGGGCAGAGACAGGCCACCCACCACTGGAAACCAGCCATAGTCACCAAAATTGTATTAAAATAATCTGGCTCCTATGTGATAGAAACAGTGCTATAATCTTAAAGACAGTATATGTTTCTATGACAGGAGGCTGAGTAGGTTAAATGAAGTAGCTGCTTAATGTTAGAAGACTTCTGAAACTGTAAAGAACGACTTAGCCAGTGTAGCACTTTTTGCCCTCAGGGACAGGTTAACAAAGGTGTCTCTTTTATAGAGGATTTTCATAGATAGCTGGACAGAAAGCCTTTTTATTGAAAATGTTATTCATATTAACAAAGTTTTATGATCTAAAAAGCTTGCTTTCTGTTTCTGCTAGAAAAAGAGCCTTAGCATCAGCTCCTGCGTTAAGGACAGCTGGGGATGTGGGTCATTGTTCTTAGAATTCATTGATAGAAGCTGGTGGGAAGGTATGAAAATCATTTTGTCAGTTCCTTGTTGAGTTGTTCTCAGCTCTTTCAGACTCATGGGCCCACACAACTGGAGGTGTGAGTCAGGCTGGCCCAGATAACTGAAAATGCCAAAGAAACTATGTGGCAAGGAGTTCCTGGTGGTGGCCTGAAATAAGAGGCTACAACCAAGAGCTGCATTACCATGTACTTAGAGCCAGGCTAGAAACCCTATGAGGATAAACTCCTTACCATATAGAGAGGCAACATTACCCTACAGATTGCAGGCACATATAAACTCATTTCATGTTTTTAGAAGAGTTTTATTAAGTATATGAAAGCTTCCAGAAGGCATACTGGAAAATGTTCAGGACCTTCTATCAATGCCTTTTTTACTGAAATACCACAGATACATATATTTGACAGAAATAAAGAGTATTAGAAGCACTACAAAGCCTAAGTATATTGTATAGATTTTGGTTTTTTTTCAGAGAAAATACAAGATACTAAATAAGGATAGAATTTAAGTCCTACTGAAGTCAATGGCCAAAGACCATTATTCTTTACTGGAACAAAAAAGGTTTCACAGAAAAGGTTTTGTACAGGAAGATATGAGTGATCTAAACCTAAGAGTATAGTGTATTTATGAAAGTATTTTTACAAGCCATTCTTCATGTGTATACGCAAGTGATAATTAAATACAGTTCTCCAGTGACAAAGTCATGAAAAAATACTATCTGATCACATCGGGGTACCACTGAAGCAAAGAAAAAGGAGGCCTAGCCTTTGGATTGGTGTTACCTTCAGATTTGGGTGATCTGCCTGAAAAGTCCTTGTTTTTAATCTAGTCATTTGGCGCTAAATCCAATGATTCAACTATGTGATAACATGCTCAGCAGGCTCTTGGTCTGCTTATTATAAAATACATCAGTGTTTGCTGTCAGAGTCCAGGTTTTCCCAGCTCAAAATTATCACCACTGGATGAGAGCGTCCTACGTGGCCTCTCAGCTCCAGCTCTGCATCACTGACCTGGGAAACTTTATTTCATGCAACAGGATAGCATAAGGCCACAAGATAGTAAAGCCCTAGAAACAGGGAGGTGCCTAAGTCGTCCCAAATAAGGGGGAGGCAGCTGTGTTCAGGTTCCCTCCAGGATGGATGCAACTTAACCAGGTTAAAAAACATATGGCACAAGGTCGCAGCTCTAAGACAGTGTTTAACATCATTAACCCTGAGTAGTATCAAGCACAAAGTAAGCAGGCTTGAACTGCAGAGAGGGCTGTGGTTTAATGCATGACTATCCATGCTATTTTTTATTTTCTAGCAGGGGGGATACCTATGCTCAACAGGGCTTTCAGGCACCTAACTCAGGGCAGTGGATCCCATTTCAGCTCTGGCATGCCTAAGCTTTATTCACTGATGCAATGATGCCCACAGCTCCTCCGTGCTTCAGTTCTTCACTGGTACAATTAATTAGTAGTAACAACACTTGCTGCCTCATCAGGGTGTTGTAAAGAAAAAGCATGATAAAAATAGTAAGGCATTCAGATATTAGATAAGGACTTTGTAATCTTCTAGAGAAAATTTTGAAAGACTTTGCACTGTTCGAATGTAGATCAAATTTTGAGCCCTTTAAGACTAAATTTCTTTAGTCCTAAATTTTTCTCTGTCTGCACAGACAAAGGATCTGGAAGAAGGACTCCTGTAGTGTGTCACCTTTGTGCTTGGCCCCCTGCATAGCGTTACCTTTCTCAAGGCATTTTGCTAAATGCAGAGGTCCCTGGTAAAGTCCCTGGTCAAGCCATGATGAGCCACTTCAAGTTAGTTCCTTTCTACGTGCTTCCTAGTACATTCTAGGCATGTGCTGCCCTTGTTCTGTCGAAGCACCAGTCTCATGTTGTACTGAAGATGAGTGTAAGGTCTATTTTACATTTCCATGAGATAGAGGTGAAAGTCACGGTGCAGCTGCCAGTGGAAATCAGCACAAAATCCCTGGGATAATTCTGACATCAGTTGAAGAGAGTCTAAGAGTTCTGACTGCGTGGTCAACACAGCCAAATCCAGCCACCACGGTACTCAATGCAAAGCTCATTCCTGCTGCTGGATGGGCTCTGCATTGACACTGACCACTGGCCTTTTTGCTGAGTAGAGCAGTAGTACAGGGAATAAAAGTGGGGTGTAAGTTATACCCTTACTCAGCTCCTCTGGGAAATGGGAAATACCTAAAGACAAATGGCTATAGCACCTTTGGTATGCAAATGGATACTGCACTGTGTCCCAGCACTTTGTAAGAAACTAGACTTGTTTCTGTTCTAGTCTTATCCTACAACAAAGAAGAGGATGCATATGGCACAGCATAGAGCAAAATTTAAAAACCTAGTGTGATTTCACAGCTGGTGTTCACTTAAGCAACCCAGAAGCAATGTCCCGTTCAGCCCATGAGAACAGGTTTAAACTTCATTTATGCCATTCACTTCCTTCTTCAGTCCTTCTCGTTCCTCTCTCAAAGGTTCCAGCTCAGGCCCATCTTCTGCAGTTTCTTTGTTCCAGTTATTTCTGCCTTCATTTTCTGTCCTTACAGATTTAGGATCTTCCTTTGCCTTTCTCTCCTTCTCCTCGTTGGCAAGCATATGATAATTATAATAATTCATGATGAACAGGAAAGTTCCTGCCAGGACCATCACAGCTCCACATTTAATGAACATATATTTATAGTCCCCAAAGGTATCGATAAGAGTTCCTATAAAACATATAATAAAAAAAAAAAAAAAAAAAAAAAAGAAAAAAAAAGAAAATAAAAACTTACAGATGAAGGCAATAATATTGTGTTTTCATATCCTAAATATAAAGGGACACCCTTGTGGCTTTAGGATAAAATAAGACATTCTACATTCTCTGAACTTCTCATCTCTTTCACGAGTAGTCTGATCCTGAAAATATTTCACTCATGTTCCGCTGTATAATCTGTGGATAGTTAACATTGATATAGGTAATACTAACAATAATTTGCACAGTTAAGTAGAAGGGGACAGAGAACCTACATTGTGAAGCCTGGACTTTTCAGGCACACCTATTTTTTCCATGCAGAAACTAAGTCCTCTGATCACAGAGACTGCAGAGAGCCTTTCCATTGACTCCAGTGATCACCTGCAAGGACATCCATTTGACTTGGTAGTCCTCAGCCTGCCAACAAAGCAGCAGCTTTCGGGAAGACCTTCGTGAGATGGCACCTGGCCACTGTGTCTCATTTCAGGCTCTTGACAAAGACCCTCCAATTTATTCCACCACGGGTCATTCACCAGCATTAGAGGGGACTCAGCTTTTGGTCACAGCTACCCTTTCTGCATTTGTACTTGTGATCTAAAGATGAAAGGGCACTGCGTGGAACTGGAAAGTATTAGTTCCAGGGAAAGCAAAGATGATGCTGTCAATGTCAGATAATTTCAATGCCAAGACAGATGTGACGGGTTCCTCTCAGAGGTTAATGCCTCTGCTACGGAGTCACAGAGTAATTGAAGGGAGATGGCTTAATTGAAATGTCAGTGTTCTCCATTATGTCAAAATGTAATGCAAATCTTATTGGGATTATGATCCTGAGCATTAATTCCCATTTACTGGTGCAACACAGACCATTCTTAACATCCCAAATCCTAATTAAAGTAACACCCACTCCTAACCTGGCCTTCACAGTACAGACAGTCCTCCTTGAAACTGGCCCATCATCCATTAGCTGGCTGACTTTTTGGAACACACTCTTCTCCTTAAAAAGAGGGACCTTTAATTACTTCCTGACTGACCCCTAATGTTGAAAAGCTGATGATTAATTATGCCACTGCATTGCACTAACAAGGGATTTTATGACCACCAAATAGATTTCTTGATCACAAAAATAATAATTTTTAACTGGTTTTGGTCAACGGCTCTTCCTGAATCATTCCTAGATGTCTTGGTACCCTGTTTTCAATGCACTGTGTTTTTCATGTTACTGGTGAAACATCAACCAAATGCTAATTGCCACAATTTTTCCTTTTCTGCTAATCAGCATGACCTAGAGGTCTCCTAAATAGGTTTCAATGAGAGCTTTAATGAGTAGAGTATTGGAAAATTCAACAGTAGGATAGTCTTGACTCTTTTCCTTTGAGAATAAGATAAAGTCATAAAACACACTGGGAACAATTTACTTAGTTCATTAAAGCAGAACACTGCAGTAGGTTATTAAAATGCCAAAGAACCAATAAATTCGCTGCTTATTAAAATGGTGGGGAAAACCCTACAAAACTAATATTACTGATTATTGCATAGAACTGTTTAGCCTCATTAGCAGTCTCTGGTCATTAACTTAATCATCCACACAGAAAATTATATAATTCAGAAAATGGTCATTTTAAAATTGTATTTTCTTTTGTTTGTCATTAATTAAATAATGAATCTCTACAACAGCAAAAGGATACAGCTGCCTCTGTCACACTGTATGAGCTACATGGTAATATGAAGAATTAAATGGCTCTGCCAGACATGTCATACAGAGTATTAACCAGATCTCAGTTTTGAATCCAGGAAATGGGTTTAAACTGCCTTCTTTCTGTGCATTCTTTAAATTTATTATGATACTGTCATATCAAAAGAATTGGCAGTTTAACTTTTATACATCCAAATACAGACAGAACACAAAACCTAATTAAAAATTTTAGCATTCTTACAGGTGACCAGTTTCCAAACCAGTTATTCAAGCTTGTGTACAGGTGAAATGCAAATTAATTGCAGGACAGGACACATAGATAGGATGGTATCTATACTCTGAGAGGATGTCACCTATAAAGTCATTTAATTCAGAGCCAACTCAGATTTGACAAGGACTATACTTCAGCCAAATGTCAGATGCAAATATGGTGTCTTCCAGACATGGTGTATTCCTTGCAGAAAAAGGAGTGAGCATATGCTATAGAGGGAAATAAGTGGAGGCTGTTAAAATCACATGAGATCACTGCTCCCGCTTGCCTTCAGGTGACTGTAAGACCTGCTGGAGGTTCAATATTCTCAACATGGGCCTTTGAGAGTCTCTGTATTTTGATATTTCAAACCATGCCATCCAAAATAAATCTTCTTTTATTTTCAGAACAGTCTTAAATCTATTGGATGCACTAGGATGACTGGAATCCATAAGCAGAAGTACTCAGAGCCTTACAGAGAAATAGCAAGAGGATTTCATAGAACTGTTGTGTTCTACTGTGCTTAAATTATGGTGGGCTCCAGACTTTTGCAAGAGGGGGAGTGTCCAGAATGGAGCTGTCTAAAGTGCAAGGTTCTTTGTGATGCTGGAAGTTCAAGTTCAGTTAAAATGTTTGGCAGGGTCAGAGACTAGAAGATCACTCTCCAAACTGTTGACTTCAACTGGTGGACTACACAGAAAGGAGTGAAGAGGAAATGCTGGAGAAGATACCTAGGACCTGTCTTTCCTGTCCAATGACTAGTGGAAAATGGTGAGTGGGAAGCAGGGAAAACACATTTAGAATCACTTCTTACAAACTGTGCTTATAAGAGTCTAAATATAAGCGACAACCCCGTGGAAGCAGAGGAAGAAGATACACTCACCTCCAATAGGTGGTCCCAGCAATATTGTGCAGCACTCTGCAATGGTGACCAGGCCAACAGCGCTTGTGAACCGGGCAGCTCCCACGAGGTCCATGAGCGTTTCAAAGAGCATGGCACAAACCATGCCAAAAGCCAAGCCAAAAAAGATGGAGTAAACAACAAGCCCCATGTAGCCAGAAGCCAGTGGGCACAGAAGGTGGCAAGTGCCGTTGAAAGCAATGGAGAAGCTGAAAAAGTACTGAATCCGTGGCCTCACCCACTTGCTGTTTGCAATGATGCCAGTGGTAGGTCGGGCAATCATATCCACGATAGCAAGGATTGAAAGGAGGAAAGCAGCTGAATATTCATCAATGCCAATGTGCTTTGCATAGGGTGCCAGAAAAACAATGGGGGCAAAAAAACCCAGGAACATAAGCACATTTCCAATCAGGTAAATTAAGAAGCCTCTGTGCTTAAAGAGGGAAAAATCGAGGTACTGATTGATTTTTTCACAGCAGTCCTTTCCTCCTTCGTCTTCTGTTTTCTTCTCCATGGGGACACTTGTGGGACTACTCTTTTCCATGGCATCTTCAGTGACCTCTTCTTTCAGAGCATCCTTCCCTTCCTCAGTCACCTGGGTTTTGACTGATGCTGTGGCTGCCCCGATTGGTCTGAAGAGAGCTCCTGCCACACAACAGTTTAATAAAATTGCCCCAAGAATTAAAAAGCTGCCCCTCCATCCAAAGTTGTCAAAAAGGAACTGATTGAGAGGGGCCAGGGTGCAAAGCATCACAGGGCTCCCTGCCATAGCAAGGCCATTCGCTATGGGCCTTCTCTTCAAAAAGTATTTCCCTATGATTATCACTGATGGCTGGAGGTTGAGAGCAAGACCGAATCCTGGAACAGAGAAAAATAGTTGAGATAGATACACAAAGGAAGATTTGAGACCCATTTATCCTCATCTCATTGTTTAAGGCAAATTCATGGACAGTTGGTCCACTGGTAGCTCTTCAACATGATAGTCTGGATGCAAGCTTTGCTCAAGATATCCCTAAGCTTTCGGCTGCCACATTTTTGTAACCAGACCCTAGAAAGACACTTTCAGTCAGAGAACACCCCTTCCTTTTTCAGTGCATATCTCTTGGGTGGTGAACGTATGACAAAGAGTTTGCATCAGAATAAACTGAAACTATACCCTCAACGAATGCCGGCTGGTTTTGTCCAGACACAGCAGACTTCTTGGGGGAGAGGATGAATCTATTTAAAAAAAAGACAACTCCCACTTTGAGGAAGGTTGTTCTGCTTGGACAGTGTTAACCATCAAAGTGCAGTGGGGGCTGCCACCCCTTTCCTTGGGAGGTGGGCACCCAACACTGCTGCCGGGCAGACAGACCTGGACAGAAAATGACATCGCCCTTCTCAGCCGCTACTAATGTGGTGGTGTGAGTAATTCAGGTCTGATGCAAAAGATTAAGAGGTCTGCAAGTACACAGCAAAACAGCTACTGAGGATGCTAATTAAACAGGACCCCAGAGGGTTTCTTTTAATTAAAATTTATTTTTATTGCATTTAGATATATAAAAGGTATTACAAATCTGCATTGCTAATTCAGTTAGCCAGCTTCTTTTGCACAGGTGAAATCTGAAGGCAGAGATACCAAATGCTGTGATGGTCTCAACTTTTTGTAGTTCTGTTTGAGAGTACTAGCACACAATAATCTCTTCCTTTCAAACGTTTCTATGATGTGCAGTATTTCCATAAAAAGTTAAATTTTCAGAACTGCATCAAAATGACATTTAAAAATCATGCCACATATTTTCCACCCTATCATCCAGGAAAGAATGAGCCACATTAGAACAAAGCAGAAATTTAATCCTTGAAGTGATTATATCAGAGAACATGAATCCTGAAAATAGGGTCATGCAGATTTTTTCTTGTTCATTAGTCTATATAATTAGTTTGTTTAACTGTGCAGTACATAATTAGGCATATTGCTTTACAGAAGAGAATTTAGAAAGGTCAAGGTCCTCAAAATTAATTAAGGAACACTATCATTAGTTGCTGATAGAGTAGAATCCAACTGATGCAGCAGAATTCAACTGATGTTGAATAAAACTGTGATTTTTCCAAGTCGAAGATTCTTTTTTTTAAAAAAAAAAAAAAAAACAAACCAAAAAACAAACAAACAAACAAACAAAACTACTTGGAAGTTTACAATATTAAAAATAAATTGCAATGGAAACATATTAAAATTAATCTAATATGAAACACATTGTCAGCTAGAACTTTTCTAGATAGTCCATATATTTGGTAGGGCATGTCTGTGAGAGGTACAGCCTGCTCATAAAGCATAAGGGGCCAAATTCAGCCCCGTAAGAGGGCTGATGAGTAAAACACAGCCTTGGTTCAAGAACACCCTTGATGGTGCTCAGGTATAGGAATGCATCTTCTTTCACCTGAGAAGATGCAACACAATGGATTAGAGTTTTCTTTAACTCCATATTTCCCAGACTGGTAGGTAAAGGCAGAAATTGGACCATCGTTTCCACAGAATCATTTTTGTTAGGGGACATACCACATGTCGTGCAGAGAAGGAAAATCAGTCTGGATGCCAGCTACCCACTTAAACAATAATCAACTCAAATTTTTTATTATGTGAACATTAATTTGCCAGTCAGACAAATCTAATTTAATATTACCTCATGCTCTTCCCATTAATTAAATCTGGAGAGTTTCAAATTGACTGACTGGAATTTCAATTTACTTTAAGCTTTTGGCTGACTTTAGTTGGAAATATTTATATCCATTTTATTCCAGTTTTCAGAAAGTACAGCAGCTTTTCCATGGCTGAAATTGTTACTCAAATAACCACATTTTCTCCCCAGGGATATGACAGAGAGGTCTATCATTGGTGTTTCATGAACAGAAGCAAGCCCAGTGCCAGAAGGACCATCCTTTCCTAGATTAAATACATCTCCCTCATATGAGAAGGAAATAAGTGGTGCTACAGGAGTGAGCTGTGTAGCTATTGATCTTGTTCCTACTTTATTAGCAAGGGAAGATCCTACCAGGTATTTCAATGCTCAATATTTACAGCTGAGGCAAAAACTCTAGTCTCATTTGTCAACAAGCTTCACCCTAGATCCCATTTTAGTTCATGGTGGTATAAGTGGTACAGATTGAATTAAACACTGACCAGTTGTTATTGCCTTGTATTTAGCTTTGAAATGTGTTGCTTCTACCTCAGATCTGAAGAAGAGGTTGCCTGCTTAAACACCTATTTAATGCATCCAGGCTGGCATCTATCCAGGTCGACAGCTTGCAAACCCCATTTCCTTTTTCTAAGCGCTATAGGGAAACAAGTGAGGAAGAGAACATGGGTTTTACAGCGTATGCAAAGTGCCTCGTGCAGCCCACAGCTCAGTGCCATCAAGGACAGAGCTGCCTCTGACAGCGGAGCCCAGTCCCTGCTCTGCATGCAAATGGAAAAAGACATAATCAAGAAAGCAATTGAGATTGCCGTGTCTAATCCCTCCACCATAAACAGATACTTCCTGCTCTGCTCCTCTGAAGAGATTCCTATTAATATGCCAAAGGCACGGGACTGTAGCAGAGACCTCCTACTATCAACTATCTTGTTTTTATCTCCATTCCTGCAAATAACATGAACATGGTCTTTTACATCAGTCTGTTTCCTTTTCAGGCTAGTAGGAAGGGGGCTAGGAAGAGCGTGATGTTTACAGGTTGCTTTACAGTAATTGCAAATCACCTTTACAAAAAGTCTCTCTCCTTGTACAGTAATGCTGTCTCAGCCATGTGATGAGCAAGCAGCTTCATAATTGCCCTTGAATGCTTCCATGTTAGGCCTGACCAGCGAAAGCACTTCAAGCGTAATTAGAGGCATCAAGCATGTTAGCAGTATTACAAGCATCTTCGCTTCTCTGTCAAATTAATATTCCTTCCCCAGCACACACACCATGCCTGGAAATGATGGGTTATTAGCTAAGACTTCATCCATACAGCTGCCCTCATTCAGCAAGCAGGAGGAAAAGACGTACACAACAGAAAATGTGCTTTGCTCCGAGGAAACATCATAATATTAAAGATGAAGAAGTACAGGGACAGTTTAGCCCTGTACCCTGTTGCTAGCAGGAGGGTTACGTGTGTGCATTGAGCACAGCTCACAGTATCAGCTCTCTGCGGTGGGCAATGGACCAGATTTGCAAAGATATTAAGGATCAAAAAAGAGCAGGGTCTTCATAAATCCTAGGCCCATTGGGGTTAGGCACAAAATTCCCTGTTGTCATGTTTTTAGACCCGTACCTTTGAAAATAGGAGTTGGTGGCTTCCTACAGAACTGTTCCTTGCCTGAGCCCTTCTGCTCACCAAAATGCATATATTTTTAGCGAAGGATTTACAGTTTCCATGTGTTAATCCAGTGTTAGTAAACTTGCTAGAAGACATTTGTTTATCAGGGAATGATGCAAGCTCATACATAGGTAAATACTGAATTTATCCATGGGAGACATTGGTTATTTATATTTCTCATTGCTTTGTTTCTGGAATCTTTTTCAAGGAATCTGAAAGATTTATTCACTTAGTAATAACACAGTTTTAGCTAACTACAGTGACTCTCCTTAGAAAGAGTAAGATTTAAGAGAGGGAAAGGGAATCCCACATGAGGATTTATTCACTACTGTACAGATTTAATAAAGCAATATTAGTGTAGGAGAACAGGATGACAAACTTTTTGTCCCAATTTACTTTGCTAGTGGCTGTTTTTATGATTTTAAATGTTGAGCTCTCACTATTCATGTTCAGAAGGCAGCAAAACTTAATGCAGCTGCAGAGAGATAGGGAACATTCATTAAAACATACACCTTTCAGCCTCAAAAGCCAATTTTGAACTCATTGTATCTTGTTTTCAGGCAGATGTCCAAGCTGCACTTGGTTGTACCTTAGACAAAATAATCAAACAAAAATGCTTACAATTAAACAGCTATACTCACACAAGCAGAGAACTCTAATTCATCTACCTTTAAAAGCAATAACCCAGCAACTGCAGGCTTTAAAGATGCTGGACTGAGACTATGCCTTCTCCTGTTTGAGTCTCCAATATGGAAATTCATATTTCAATACAGTCAATTCAAATTGTAACTTCAATAAGGAAATATAATTTTATTTATTTCTCAATAGGGAGAATATTGCATATTTTCAATCAACTCCAGTACTTATTATTTTCAGATAAAGGACAAGCAGGAAAAGGGCAAGTAAACTAAGGCAAACCCCTGAAATCTCATTTCATATATCTCATAGAGGGAAGATAATGCACAGTAATATAGGAACACAGGTGCTTTCTTCATAGCCACACTTGTATCTCAAAGGGCTTGCCTTGCCCAGGGCCGAGCACAGCCAGCCTGCATTGAGTTCAGCAAGAGCTGAGGGCGCTGATGGCCAATCTCACCATCGCCCCTGGCCGAGAGCACACCCCTGCTAAGATCCCACACATGGTGTCCTGCCAGGAACACACCACTTAGCAGGGGACATGCTCTTTGCTAAAGTTCATCTGCAGCAGTTAATAGGCTAGGGCCCTTGTCTCACTAGCTTTTTATCTCACCACCTTCCTGTGCGTTTGGCTGAGGTGCCCAAGCGTGGATGCCCCGAGCCACCTGAAGTGAATCTTAAGCACGGGTGGAAAGGAGATGATTTCTTCTTACCTGTAATGAAGCCCACACAGATGTAGAGCTGCAGGATGCTGGTGCAGAAAGCGGCTGAGACCATCCCAATGCCACACAGCAGGCCTCCAAATATCACCACGGGTCGGCTGCCATAGCGGTTTACTAAAATACTACTAATGGGACCTGGGGAGAGAGCGCAAAATGGTCCTTGAGGTAGGTATCTTCTGGCAGAAGGGCATGCTTGACACAAAGCAGGTAAAACTCTGCAATACCAGTGCCCCTGAGGTGCTGCTGACAGCTCCTAGGGTGACATCATGAAGAAAATGGAAAAAGAGAGAAAGATGATCTGCACTGTGTGGAGATGGCAGCATGTCCCATGCCACACAGCGGCTGTGTAGTCATTGACAGCTCCTGCCCCCAGGACTTTAAAGTGTCATCAGAGAAGGCAAACAGCAATAACAAATCGGGTGAACACACAACCCCAACATAGGAGCTTCTTGATTTATTGTGATGCTAAACCATACACACAAAGCAGTGGTTCATATTACAAGGCTGATATCAGGAATACTGTTGCATTTTTAATGCCTCTATTTAATGCAGTTCCAATACTGCTGACCAGGACTGAAGCTTCAGCAGAACATTTGTTAATTAAATCTTAATAGCAGGCTATGTAGGCAGAAACAGTTCAGAATGATGGATTAGCTGGAGCTCAAAAGAACCAGTTTGGTCTTGCATTTATGTAAAGAGGTGGTTCAGAAAGTACAAAATTATGAAAGAGGGAAATGGCTTAACAAAGACTGTACACACTGAAAGGAAGCATTTAAATCTGAGGAAGGGGAACACGTCAGCAGCTTTGGATGGAGGAGAAAAGAAGGGTGGTCTTGAATATAGTAGTCTCAACCAGCTGGAGAACCAGTAAAAATCAAGATCACAGAATGATATATGTCAGAGGAACTTTGAAGGTCTTGGGACCAACCTCCTGCTCAAAGCAGAGCCAACTCTGAAGTAAGATCAGGCTGAGAAGTCAGAACAAGAGAAAGCAAACTGAGCAGGAAATAGTGGTCCAGAATTCAAGCAATGAGACATTAGAAAAAGATTCTGTATTACTCAAAAACCCTGAACCAAAATGCTGCAAAAATTATGCTGGAAATGAGGCAGGGGAGTACAGGCAGTATTTAGTATCTTCTCTTACCTGACTATTGCTGGTGCTACTCAGCACACAGCAATGGTGTTTTGGAACCCAGTGTGCCTGTTTGCCTTCATTCCTGCCATTACAAACAGCCCACACTGTCCACATACCCGTTACTGGAAATGGGTATTTTAAGCTTACAGGCATCCCTGAAGAGTTTGACTGTGGGATCTACCTCACTGCAGAGACATTTGGTAGGACATTTACCTTTGCTTAAATAATCTCATCCAGAAATTGTGCCAGAGCTCTTTCCAGACCCTGCAAACCATGGCACACTTGAGCACAGGAGCCAGACCCAAAAACTCCAGTATCCCCTCAAAATGCCTGACAACATCCAAACAAGTTCTCAGCTCTTAAAATGGGCAAGAATAAAAAACAGTAGATATGACTGGTTTAATCTAGGGAATGAAGCCCATTGGTACATCTGTAACATGTAAAATACTTTCCACTAGACATCCAAGGTCAAAACACTCAAATTAAATACACACAAGCCCAGTCTTAACAGCATCCCTGTAACTGCGTGATCCGTGAGCTGGTCCCATCAAATGTACCATTCAATTAAAATGTCTGTGAGTGTATAATTATGTGATCTTTTTCTCCTAATCCTGTAACTGGCTTCACGTGCATTCATTCTTTTGCCATACAGAGCACTACAGAATTCAATGAGAAGTTCTGGGGACAGAGATACATGTGCCAGATCAGAACAGCAGGAAAGAGACCCCTTTCCCACTGAGTTTCCCCTGGTCAGGGTTTGGACTTCCATCATGCTTGAGCTGCTCTCAGTGTGTCCTATAATTCAATAGATCAAGCCAGTGTTCTTCAGAAAGTCACCAACACATTCCTCTGCAGCCTAAGGGCACACTACTCTTCCATTTTTCAATTTTCCACATGTCTGCATTTTTCCAGAATCAATCTAATTATTCAACTAGGAAAATGTGGTTTCAATTACATTCTCCCACTGGAAGAGGGCTTTCACATTAGCCCTAAAACTACAGGACATCGTATCATGGAGCAGAGGATTTAAAGCCCGTAAGATTCCTGCTAAGTCCCCTCTCCTGCTCTGACTCAGGGAGAGAGGTCCCTGCTATGAGAAGTAAACCAAAATGATCACATATGTCCCACTCTTGCAGCATCCACCTTGGCAGAAGGCATATGTGGATCCATGTCCCTCTCACTCTAGTTCATAAGGTGTTGTATTGGTTTCATCCATCAGTAAGGATGGGTTTGGGCCATAACAGCAGATGATGAACTGGAAGGAGCTGAGGGTAGGACACAGTCTGCTCTGCTTCCCGGCTATGGGGACAACCCAGGGTAGAGGCCGGAGTAGATGGAAGCAGAAGTTCATATCCCAACCACTGGCTTTACAAATGAAAGCACCCTTCCTGTGTCCCTGGGGCACCCTCCAGGAACATGCAGTGTCCTCAACCACATTCCAACTTCCCAGTGATCACTTATTAAGCCACGAGACCGCAATTGCTCCCCAATCTTGTGTGATCTCTCAGCAATGCTTTACAACAGGTCTGCGTGACCTTCAGCAAACAGCCTTCATCTGCTGTAACCAGCGTTACCAGTTTTACAGGGGGATAATCAGTCCCACTTGTTTGCCAGTTCAGGTGGGAGAGCTGTGGTCTCAAAGGCCTTACCTGCCTGGGTTGGACCGAGCTCGCAAGGACCTGTGACAAGCTTCAGAAGCAACATAAACCTTTCTCCTTCACAGCTGAAACCTTAAACCCAAGCCCTGTGAGTCTGATTTGCTAAAGAAGCACAGCGTACAGGATCACAGCACACACTTGTGAACAGCAGTGTTTGATCTCCCTGACCAACCTCTGACTGCGGGTCGGAGGCCTCTAAGGTACTCAGTGCAGCCAGTTAAAGAAGAAAACTGGAGCAGCACATCTAGACAACCTTTCCAGCCACTGGAGAATCCACAGCAAAGGCCATGATGAGCACTCAACCTGCACGGAAAGCATCGGCTAGACCTACACTTTACAAGACACCAGATAATCCAACCCAAGGCCTCAAATAGTTGGGAAACCAAACTTCCCTGAGCTGCTGCTCATAGGCTGAAGGTTTTGTAATAGTCCTGAACAGAACTTTCAAATGCACCGGAGCAAATGCAAAAATCACATCCCCAAAATTACTTCCACTTAAGTCATTTTGGACCTACAGAAACATCCATAGGCTTTAATGGAGGAGCTGTCTCATCTCTTGGCAGGAACCAGTGCACACAATATGTCACATAGCTGTGCGCATGGCAGCGTGCAAACCCTGCCAGTTTGGGCAGGCACACAGAGCACAGACAAGTACACCTTCACCCTGCCCAGACGTCTCCAGTGATCAGCATCACATCCAGCAGCTCTAAATGCACCTCTCCTGCCTTGCTCTGCCACGTGCCACCCGTAGTGTATTTCTCACAGGGGGTTTGATTAGCCATTAAACATTAGATAACTTTAATGGCAGTGCTGTGGGGAGCTTTGGAAAACGTCAAATAGCTCAAGTTAGGGCAGAGGAATTAAGAAGGGGGAACAACAAAGTCAGCACTGCAGTTGTGGGAAATAGGAAACACAATTACTGCTTTGCTTGCAGCTATTCCAAAAATTAAAAGTATGACAGCCCCTGGAAACACGGTGGAATTGAAAAGCAGGGCCTGTCATTTACCAGTTACTCAGCCCGCAAGAAAGGAATAAAGATGCTGTAGATTACCACACAGAAACCATTTACAGTAACAATGTGTGCAGCTGAGATCCCAAGGCACCTTTACTTGCTAATACCTGCCTGGTCAAATGTGCAGGAACCACAGGCTCCCTGTCCCAACATCCAAACTAAATTATCCTTCCTTCTTGAGAGACAATGACGGGAGAAGCTAACAGGAGTCAAGGTGATTTTTGCCCCTTAATTTACAGAGTCAGGTGAGGACAGGGTAAGAGAAACAGCTGGCAAAGCTCTCATAAAGCCACCATTTACTCGGCTTGACCTTGCAGAAGCAGCCATGTGAATGTTAAGTCCCTGAAATGTCACGGCAAGGAGCAAACGCCACCTCAGCTGCTGAGCATGTCCCCGATGCATGGCTTCTCAGGGACCAGAGCAGTCAGGGCTAGTGTCACCTGCTAGTGCTGTCTCCACACCCCTACCACCATGGCAGCATTACAACTTCTCCTAAGAAAATCAGTAATAAAATTTAATCACCCCCTTTCACCCCGATACATTATAAGGACAAAGCTGCTGCCATGGGTGGGGATGGCATTTCCACCCACCCAGCCTGAGGAAAGAAGACAACCTCTTCCATAACCCAGCAAGTGGCTTTCTCCCTCCTGATGAACTCCCAGCCACGGCTGTCATTTATCATCCATCACAAGGGGATGACATGAGGCAGTGGAGGACATGGGGGGGATGCTGAGCCTCATCCTGCTGCAGGCTTTGCTCAGAGCCGTGCCTGTGGCTCTGCACCTCCCCTGGATCTCACCTGGGGGACACGCTCACCAGTGGATCTACCATCGTCCCCTGGGTAGGAGCAAGGAAAGCCTGCTCTGAAATGCCTTGCTTTACACCCCAAGCCCTTGCAGAGCAGGGTGCACACAAAGGGCGTTCTGCCTACAATAAAATTCTGCAGTCTGGAGAGCAACAGTTTGCATCAAATATCCCCAAAAGATGCTGCTGGGACCATGGCACTCCTGGAAGACTGATGTAATATAAAGCACTATCCTCAGCCTATATAAATCATACTGGTTTAGTGCCTGTCCTGTATAAAGCCTCTCTTTTCTCATACCTGTGGCAGATTTCCATTTGTTGTTAGCTGGTACATGAAAGGCCGTGTCAAGGAAGCTGATCTTGGTGGCAAGCAAAACACAGGAAGTCGCCGGTGGGAAATACAGCAAACCCTAACTCATTTGTTAGCTTGTCCAATTACTTTTCACCTTGAGTTTTGTGTTTTGTGTTTGCAGAAGTGAAAAGGACCCTGAAGAGGAGATTGTAAAACTGTAAAGAAAATGCAAAA